ATTGAATACATTCGTCAGCGCGCGCGCGCTGACGAATGTATTCAATACACACATTTTCATCAATAAATGCATAACGCGCTGGCATGTTCAAAATTAACCCCCCTTTGATTTTTCAACTGTACCCATGCATGATAGCACCTAAGAGAGGTTTAATCTGAATTTTTAAGTTTCTGATCGAAAAAATTAAAAATTAAGGGGTAAAGATCCCAGACCTCGTAGGGGATGAGAGTAGGGGGAGGGCAGCTACCCTAAAAAATGTCTCTTGTCATTCTGAACAACTTTGCCATACATCACTTTTTGATCCAATGAGGTTTTGGACAAGTTGGGTACTCCCCCCCCCCACTAATACCCAAGGGGGGCAACCCTCCTTTTCACCAAATTATTTTTTCTTCATTTACTATTGATCTATATAGTTAATTTTGAAATCTGGACGTGATACCACTTGATAATATCCATTTTGTCCCCAAAAATTGACCTTTTACAGGGGCTGATTTTTTTCATATCCTGAACAGGTCCAATATTTTTGATCCTCAAATCAGCTTTCCCCAACCCCAATTCATCGTTCCCCATCATTTTCATAACTTAAAAAAATGAAATTTCTCAAAAAAATCGATTTAAAGAGGATGTCGTAAAGTGTAGTTGTGCCGTAAAAGTATAGACATGATTTTTTTTTAACCGACATAATTCCGACGTAATTATAAGAACATAAAAAAATGACTTTTCAAAATTCGAAAAAAACTGTAGATTGAAGCTCCCTCATCGTGTATCGGCACTCTTCGATTGTCTTAACCACATAAATGGCCATGTTCGGACAATTTCACATTTGAATACTTTCAGAGATCTTAACAATTCCAAAATAAGACTTAAAAAAGTCATTTAATAAATCGGTAAATATAGAAATTGCGTGCAAATATATACACATATGCACACATTATGCCTTTCAACAGTGAAATTATACGTGACGTCGATGATTTCTTTGAATTACACATCGGGTTTACTGAATTCTATATTTGGTTGGGCAAATGTAAATTGGCACAACAACACACCATTGCATGTTTTCTTCATTCGGTGCACTGGTTTAACCTATTTTACCGCGCGCTTTTTGCCCACTCGATTTTCGTGTCAATCATCAATTATTTACATCATTTTGTGCAAAAGGCATAAGGAGCATATAATGTAATGTAAATTGGCGGGGTAAAACCCCGCGTTCCATTAAGGAAGTCCGTCGCTATAAAGGAAATTTGATGCGTTTTTCGTCGATAGTAGAGTGTATTCAATAAAATACAAAAAGTCATTGAACTGAGTGAGTCAGTAGTGTCGAAAAAAGAGTTGTTTATATAATTAGAATTTTTAAATTTTTTGTGTGATGAGATTTCTTCTGTTCACATTCACATTCAAAAATACTTTTAAAAAAACCAGTTGTATATGATAATTCTGGGTCGTTAATCTCGGCGACTCGCGCACTCGTATGTGTATGTGTGTGTTTATTCATATGAGTGCCATTGCGGCTCAACAACACAAAAAAACAAACAGAAGCAAGTGATTCGCATGTTCGTTAGCTCTTTTTTGAGTTGTGCGATTTTAACTCTCTTCCGCCTATGCGTTATACACATCACACAAGTTTGCACACATTACAGTCGGCTAACGAACGAGAATCGATGCGATCCAACACACAAAGCACAGTTTTTGTTCGTTCATTTTTAGTTGAATACCAAGCACGGTGCTAGAAAGACGCAATATTTCAGTGTCATCGTGCTGCTGTAGAAATAGCGACAACACATAAGGAACAACATATGAGAGAATAATTACAACGTTCACAAGAACGATTTGAAGTGTAAACATACATAATTTGGTTGTTAATTTTTTGTGTAAAACGTTGGGTAAGTTGTGAAAACATTCAGTTGAAAACGTATTGGTCATGATTTCATTGACATTTACGTTGTATTACAAATTAAAGTTTGTAAGAGTTGTTCGGTCAAGTTTTTTTGTTAACGCATATCGAAATAATTCGATCTGATTTTTGCCACCCATTTTCGATCTTTCATTGCGGGTAATTCAAAAAAATGAAAATTTTCTGTTGAAAATTGTGGACTTGAACTTCTGATGAAATATCAATTTCTAAAAACCAGTTACGCAATATCGACGATGGAAAAGGACACATTTATTATTACGAAAAAACGGTCAAGTTCAAAAGTTCTTCATTTTTTATATAAATTTCACCATTTGATCACATATACTGCCTTCTTTAATATGTGAACGATGAGAAACTTTTCTATTCCCATATTTATTTGTAAAAGTGCTGCGTTTTCTTCGATAATTTTAAATTATTTCCCTTTTTCGCTTCAATTGTAGAGAAACGCTTGAATAATTTTCGTTTAATGTATTCAACGGTCTGGGATTCAACAATGTTTCGATTTATTATGAATCGCATCATCACTAGCACATATATTTTCAGTAAAACATCAATTGCTATGTGTACGCTACACGCTGCGAGATAAGAGACAAAAATTAACATCAAATGAGAAGTTAGTTCAAGTTCATTCGAGTTATAAATAAAACAGATCGAGCCCGGCATTTGACCAAACGATCATATCGCATCGGAATCTAACTATGCTTTTTTATAGTGACAAATCGTGTGTGCATTATTTGTTTGAATTTCGATGCCCATTGAAAATCATGCGATGAAACGATATAGAAAAAAGAACACAGCGTCTGTTTGTAATTTGAAAATGACAATTTGGCAAACAATTTGATGTGTCAGCATTTTTCTTTTGAAAACGGTAAAACATGACAGTGTCGCCGCACGAACTGAATAAAAACGGCGATATCATTTCATTTTCATTTGAAATTTCATCTGCAATTTTATTTTTCCAAGAATCAGAAATTCTCATGTAATTATTTATAGCATCATACTTGATTGTCTCTATTTGTTTTAGAAACAATAAAATTCGTTTGATGTAATTACAAAAACAATCATTTCCGATTGATTAAAAGAATTTCCAAAATAAATATTATGCGTTTTCATTGAAATTTTTTTGCTTCTTAATGACTTCACACGTTTTATTTGTTTCGAAATGAATTGAAGATGATTTTTTTTGCTCGAGAATATCAATGCAACACTCCTTCATTCAGTCTGTCACTCTTTCTCTCTGTCTCGATACATCATGATGATTCATTTGTCCATTTTTCGGAATTAAAACGTTCGATGATTTTAAGAGTGAGTCGTTAATTGGTCAAATTAATGTATCGCTCATTTTAAGGCAAGACTAAAGCAGCATGTATTTTTAACGAAATGAAGAAGAACTGAAATAACATCTGACAGAACGATCAAAAGAAAATGATATGAAGTAACAAAAATAATTCAAATATTGATCGTTTCGAAACACACAACGATACAGAAAACCGGAATTTCTCATGTTGGTTTTTTATCAAGTTGAATTCACTATTTTAGTTTTCGAAGCTAATTTACAAATACAATTTTCTAAAAGGTGATGTTATTCTAAAGTTAAATGCTTTATAGTAAATAAAATCGAATCCAAACAAAAAAGGCACTAATTGTAATTACATGTCGAATGACAATGGTGACTGTAGTCAACTTTGATATATCGCTCCAATGTATGCTACGTTGTGTTTTTTTTTTATTACAAAGTACAAACTCTGTAAAGGAAGTGAGCATGATATGCGTCGAAGTTCTTTGTGTTTTTTCGATGATAAATTCGCATATATAAATTCCATGCACATTGTAATCGTGAATATGTTTTTATTGCCGCACATAGAATTTTTTTGTTGAAGAAGAAGAAGAAAAAAAATGTCGTCGATAGCGGCTGATCAAGTGAATATTGATGTGGAGCAGTTGAACGACGCAAATAAACACAATACATTGCGAGTGGGTGAGCTGGCTGTAGACGGGCGACATCGGTCGGGTCATGCAGAACGCTCGGGTCATAATCGTAACGGGAGCAATCACAGCCAGAATGGACGATCGCGTCGGAGATCTCGATCACGTTCACGTTCACATTCACCATCACATCGTAACAAACGAGCCACAGAGACCGCAGTCAGTTTTATATATACTCCAAATGGCATTTATGTAAAATGAAACAATTTTTGTTTGTTTGTCATTCGAACAGGCACCACCAACCGAAAGAGATGTAACAAGCAATTCACATGACGTTGAACCGCTTTTGGTGACAAATACAAACCATAAAAAACGTGAGTTCAAATCCAATGGAATTTTGTTACATTTTACTGCTTTGCACCATTTTGTATTTTTAATTCGGTGATTTTTTTCTTTCATTTTTATATTCATTCAGATCATTTTTTAATAAATTAATTTCATTTCGTTTTTTGATAAATCCAATTTTGATTTTTTTTTCAATATTATTTTCGTGCACCTGCTTTTGAAAACGAAAAAATAGAAACTGAATTGGATAACGAAGGCGATTCGGATGAGAATGTTGCACAAAATGATAACGATTCAAACAATTCAGGTGTAGATGATGGATTTTTTGTAGGTACAAGAGCTGATACCGATAACGATGCAAAACATCACCATCAAAATCACAACCATAATGACCATAATGTTCCTCATGACAATAATCCACCGTTCCCATATGCACCCGGATTCAATCCAAACGTGGTAAGTCATTACTTTCGTTTTTTAAACAATAAAATTGTATGTTTACATGAGAATAATGCACTTTTGTTTCATGCATTTTAATGTAATTGATTTTGTCTCTCTATTCAGATATTTGATTCAGCTGGAAATCCACAAGTCGTGCCCGACATCAATGTTTATCAACAAAAAAAGAATTTAGCACAAGGTATGATGGATTTGGCGCTACTTTCGGCGAACGCAAATCAATTGCGATATGTGGTCGAAACATATAAAGTACATCCGTACTACTGGTTCAGTTTGATTTCGATCTCAATCAGTTTGATTTTACAGGTAAAATTTACACCAAAAATCACCAACAACATTTTATTTAAAAAAAAAAACGGGAATTTTCAATTATTTTTATCCACCTCATTTTAATTGAAAATTCTTAAAGAAAATCTACTTTTTTGCGAATACAAAAAAAAAATCACAAATAAAAATGTTTCACCTCATTAAAAACTTGGCTATAATGGAAAATCCCAAAATTGTGAACGTCCAGTTAACGAGAAGATAGTAACGTCCCTTGCATTTCCATTATAGAGAGGTTTTTTTGTCCCTTCAAATAACTCCATTCGCTACATCGTATTGTTTTTCCACTTTGTTCTGATTTTTTTAGGTTGCGGTCGGTGTCGGTTTGATTTTGAACAGTCGATACAATGTTAAAAATAAAGAGCAAATTTGCCGTGCCGATAAAATCAATAATTTTACAATTATTGGCATTTTTTTAATCACAACAGTGAATGTGTTCATCACAGCTTTTGGCGTTGCACCAGCGCCCACATAACAAATTTTTACGTTAAATAATAGGCGAAAATAAGTGAAGCAGTATTCTTTTTGTTATTTGAAAAACTAAACGTTTAAGTGTTTAACGTACGATTTGGAGATATTTTAAAAATTTTAATTAATTAATGTCTGACAGTGGTAATGCATGGTATGTTATAATGAAAGATTCGTTTTCGATATTATTTTTTTTTTATTTTTTTAATAACAAAACATTTTTTAGAAAAAAAAAATCGGAACTGAAATTGACAGTAAAATGAAGACTTGTATTTTCAGCTAAAAAAAATATTCTCAAAAAGTCAACACCAAATCAAAAATTTCTCCATTGAATTACTCATGACATTTGTTTTATATTAATGGAATTTTTTGTTTATTTGACTGCATTTGTATTTGTTATGTTCAATTAAAAATAAACGTGTTCATTTTTTCTACTTTTTAAAAAAAAAAAAAAATATTACGTAAAAAATATTTTAGCTAAATTGAAATTAAAAGGAATTTTGTGTAAACAAATAAAATGTATTGTTGGTTTTATATGTGTTAGTCTTCAGTTTCCGTGTATATTGCGGCATTTCGTCGTTTGATTTTTTTCACAGAAGGTTGTGTTGATTCGGTTTGGTTTTCGTCGTTGATTTGTCGTTTTTCGGTGGTCATCACCGTATCAATTTGTTCATCAATCCCACTCAGTTCGTTGTCTTCCACATGACTGTCATCGATTTTCGTCAATCGGTCCTCTTCAATAATAATATCTGTATCAATTTGAACGGCATCAACGCTATCATTTGCATCATCATCGTCGCTCAAGTCAATATCGGCTTCCTCTGGATTCAATAATTCGTTGAGTGAATTTTTCGGTGCCGGCAATGAATCAAATAACGACAATCGTTGATTGAGTAGCGTTAAATTTGTTATACCGCCCGACGATGCTGTCGACGAATTTAGCGTATTATTTTCAGATAGATCATCTAGTCGATCGCTGTCATTCAGTGTTAAGCTAGTATCAGATGTAATTGAAGCATTGGCCACATCCCGATAGTCAGATACATTAATTTCGCCACCCGCCAAAATCACGGCCAAATTTAGTGGATCATCAATTTCCAGTATATTACAAAATTCAATGGTTTGTGGATTTCGAACTGGTTTTGGTTGTTGTGTCATTGGTGGTCGGTTATTCGGATTGTATGGTTGTGCGGTGCGTTGAAAGTTCATCGGTATGTTCAAATTTCCACAAAATCGACTGAGTACCAGACTTTTCTCTTCATCAGTCGGTTGAAAGTTCCATCGACACGTTGTATTCCCAGGGCCAGGCATATAATTTGGAGTCGAATTAACGTGTGTTAAATGTTTTGTCGTATATAAAATGGTAAGCCACTCCAAATCGTATTGCAATCGATCTGATTCAGTGTGTGTCGTTTCAACATCAATTACTTGCAAGAATCGTCGATTCGGTAAGCATTTATCAAGTGCCAGAAATTTGGTATCGCTCCCATTGTCGTGTGGAATAACAGCGGAGAATTTACAATGTAAATGACCCGAAAACCAATATGTTGGTTGAATTTTCTTCAATAAATCAAATAGTGGCCGGCTACCGAGTTTATTGTCATAGATTTCATCTCGAAAATGTGGTTTGAATTTGATTAATTGTGCCGTATTTCCATAGTTGTAGACATCGGTTGGCCAATCGTGTGACATTATTATATCAATTGGCTGTGATAATTGTTGCAGCCGAAATGTCTCTTGTTGTCGGTAATGATAAACAGAACGCATTGTATCGGCGGTATATGGTGGCTTCTCAAAATGTCCCTTGAAATAATCGAATCCCTTGTAAATGCCTGACAAACCACCGATTCGAATACCCTTGTATGTGACAACGCCAGCATAGCCCAAATAATAAATGTTCGGTGCAACCCAACCACCGTACGGTAATTCTTGTAAATAGTTCGATGCCTCGTGATTGCCACCTATGAATATTGTCAGAATTGGAGCAACTTTTTCACCGCTATAGTATCTGAAAATAAATCGAAATATTTAATTGAAATTGAAAATAAATGGAATCATTGAGGTTATGACCAAAAATTTAAATACTCACTTGTAAAATGTGCAAATATCTTGGAACTTTTTCGGCACTGCCATACATTCGAGATCGTTTTGGTTTCTGGTCGCTTGAAAATCACCACAACATAATAACAAATCCACTTTGATATTTTGTTGTTGTTCAATTAATGCAATTGTATCGTAAATTCGCTCCAATTCACCATGGGCACATCCTTCGATTGCTATCTTCATCGTGTAATTTCTTAAATGCTTTTTTTCCACCAGCTGAACGAAATATTTGAAAGATGTTTTTCTCACAACGCACCGATTACAAATGAATTCGATGCGGCGATTAGAAAGGACTTTGACAACAATTTGAATGTTTGGAAAGCACCTAATTTGACAGTTTACCTTAATCACTCAACAAATACATCAACTGCACTGAAGTTGGTTATTCATATACACACAAGCGCACTAATGACTAGTGTCATTATCATATATGATGTATATGTCAACGCGCCAAATTCAATATAATGAAAACGGATTGTTTGGTAATTGTCGTATAGTACTTATTGTCTTAGTAATTTGCAAATGAACAATATTTTCCACCGAAATGGCGAAAATCTCAATTATTTCAATGGTGTCAAATGAAAGTTTTCAGCGTGAAACTGAAGCAAATGTCATAAAAAGATGTGCCATTCGTGTGTATGTATGCGAGCATTTGACATAGAAAAAATACGCACTATACTGTCATGATCATACTACTTAATAGTAAAAATAAGTATGAGATTTGCAAAATATAAACAAGGATCGAAAAAAAAGAACGAAATAAAAATAATATATTGGACCAGCGGAGACTGCTTTAAGTCATTGATTTCATAAAACCAAATATGGTGGATATAGTTTCTGATAGTGTTTCAAGAGACAGAGATGTGAATAATCCAAATGAATTGAGCGAACAAAATATCGACGATGATCAAGAAGAAGACGAAGGTCAACCGTCATTAAAGTTGACCGCAATGGAACCAGTTCAACCAACTAATATGTATTCGCTTCAATTGTCGCTTCTGATGTTATCCTTCTCCTCAAATTTAGTCACAGCAGTATTTCAAACTGAAATTATATACGAAAGTTGTATGCTGAAAAGCAACGAATCCATCTGTAGATTGCTTGCAAACAAAGAAATACCAAAAGAACTTAAGGTAAAATAAATAAAGTCAACAAATAGATGTTCTTTTTCAAATTATTTATTTCTCAACAAAGGATTTGGAAACAGAAGTGGAAATATATGTGTCGAAAATAAATATGGTTTGGACTGTTTTAGGAAGTATTTTTCCCGTATTTGTAAGCTTCTTCATTATACAATGGTCGGATAGATTTGGACGGAGGCCTCTTTTATTGAGCTCGTTTTTTGGTAAGCAAACATTTTTCGTTTCGTAAATAAGAGATTTGAATTTGTGTCTTTCTCTCGATTCGGTTTGGTAGGATTTTTTGTCAGCTATGCTCTTTTGTGTATGATATCGATTGCATCGTATTTTTATCAAATTAATCCATGGTTCTACTTATTGGCATTCATTCCGGCCTCAGTACTCGGTAGCATATCAACGCTAATCACTGGAGTGTACACTTACATCAATGACATTTCAGCGCCTCAAGATCGTAGCCTTAGGTTTGCATACGATTTTTGCCGCTGCATTTTTTTATGTTAAATATATTATCGTCAACAGAATGGCAAGATTAGAAGCGACTCTTCTACTTGGAAGCATTATAGGAAAACTGATCTTTGTATATATCCATATTTCGACACCAGTTGCATTTGGATGCTCAACTTTGTGTATATTCATCGGTTTAACGTGTGTTTATTACTTTGTTGGTGAAAGTATTGAAATTGAAATCGAGCAAATTAGTTGCATCGTAAGCGAAATCTTTTCAATTTTATTTTGAAGATATGCGATTGAATTATTTGAATTTTTATGAAAATCTAGGAGAAATTTGGAGCACTTTTTGATTGGAAACATGCAGAGGACTTATTTTCTACTTGTTTTAAGCGACGTGATAATAACGGGCGAATTCTTATTTGGCTCATAATCTTTTCACTGGTTTTGGCTCTATTCGGTTCTGGTAAAAAATGTTTAATCGCAAAATACGCCGAATATATTCTCTGAACAAAATAATTATAGCTGGTGCCGGTTCGGTAGACAGCTTATTCATGAGACAACAATTCAAATGGGTGCAAACAGACTATACCTTATATTCTGCCTTCAACGTAATTTGTCAGATTTTCGGAAATCTTGCTGGAACTTATATGTTGCACAAAATATTTGGAATGCCCGATATATTGGTCATACTCATCGGTTGGTTTAGTGCAATGACAGAATTCATTATTATCGGTCTGGCTAATAATTCAATTCAATTATACATTGGTGAGTTTTGACGCTAAATTTGAAAATGTCCTGTACTCATTTGAACATCGACCTTTTTCAGCTTCGGTAATTGTGATGCTCAAATTTGTTGGATTTCCATTGTGTCATTCCTATTTAGCGTCTTTGGTTCCATCGTCCGAAGTTGGTAAGGTTTTCTCTGTAGTAACAACAATGGAATTATTAGCTCCAATTGCGGCAGTGCCTCTTTACACATTCGTCTATGACAACACTATCGATACATATGCGGGGGCATTCAATTTCTTTAGTGCAATTATATATCTCGTCTGTATCCTAATCATGACGTAAGTAAAAGTCAAAAATTATTTTTCCGTTTTTTTAAATATGAACAAGGCCTGTGATTTTTATTTGCAGTACGGTATTTTACATTCGAGGCGAAAGGCACGAAACGTCCACTTATGAACGAATGATAAGTTGACAGTTTAATTCTCAAGTCACAAATTACTCAACTGTGATGATTTTCGGAAAAGGATGTCCCTTTTTCATATAACGAGTGAGCCGGGGCATTTTTATTTTGGTACTCCTGATGTTTTCTCCATTCGTTTACACGTGAAGTGGCAATCCAATATAAAAATGCATAAAAACACTGGCTCACTTTGTGGCATTATTCTTTACTTATGTGATTATTTTTTCAGCTCAAAACCAAATTTCAAATTTGTATTTTGTAGTAAATTTTGTTTCAATATCAGCGCTCTCTTCCTCCTAATGTCCCCTTGCTGACATAAAAAAGCTTTGTTAACTCAATTTATTTCTAAAATAAAAAAACGTTTATTTTTAATTTTGTTTCATTTTATTTCATTTTTTTTTTCATCTCCAAATTGTTTACAGTTTTTCTAAATTAAACTTAATATACATTAATTGAATCAAACTATAATCATGAGTGTTGTCCTCTTAGTCTCTTGTTGCTGCAACACTGTATTCCGTTTTTAAATTGAAATTCAGAGAATGGCTTGTTCTTCTTTTTTGGTTGTCCTGCGTTTAATTCATCTAATTTTTCCAAAAATTGCAATGATATTTTCATCAAACTTTCGGCGGCACGACGTCGATAATCCATTGGTGACGAGGAATTGTGAAGATAGTCTTTGTCATATACCCATCCAGATACTCGGCAATGACGTACTTTTCCAGAATTGAAGATCGGACTCATTTTCTTAGTGAAAATATTTGAAAATTTACAACCATCATCTTTAACGATCAATTCTCGTGTTGATCCCAGAGTTGCATGTTGCTTAAATAAAGCTACA